AAATTAATAATAAAGGGTCATTTTACCCTGGACCACATTATAATACAACACCTAACTTTTATTTATTTTTCCTCAAAGTGAAGTCTCATGATGTAAGACGTAAGCTGTAGAACTTAATATTGATGGATTTTAAGTAATATACTTTCTCCAAGCGACCTTTTCTTTTGTAGCATCTGTTCTTTCCACCATATTCCTGAAGCTGCTCACGGTGCTGCATCTTCTCAGCCCGGGCGGTAGTAAGTGGGTCTCAGTGGATTTCCGGTGCTTTTGGGTCATTCTCTATAATTCAGTCACTCAATTGAATAAAACCTTAGAACACAGATATATAACACTTTTAAGTCCAAATTATTCCTTTAACTTCAATGGCAGTACAGTCTCTCTGAATAATTACTTCTTGGGTGGTTATAAATATGAAATAGGAATATAAAATTATATTGAGCCAAGGCGGGCTATTGGAAGCTAGGAAGATCCCACAGATAGAGGAGGGTGATGTTGGAAAGCATCTGAGAAATGTGGGGCTGAAGAAAAGGGTGAGTCTCTTCAGTCAGGATGAATTATGCCTTCACCAGTCTGTTGATTCTTCTTGCTAGGAGGTGCTGAGCAGTAATGAATCATGTGAAGGAAAGGCGAATCTTCTTTGATTCCATAAATTCACCAGCTGTCCAGTGTCCTGAGAATACAGGGGCAGTGAGGGGCCTTCTTATCACACATGATCTGGTCTCATGAATGCTTAGTTGTACACCTGTTAGACTCTCAGGTTTGCTTCAGCAACAAATGCAAAACAAAGCATCTGAATGCAATGAAGTATTTTTTTTCCAAACAGATTTCACACTTTTCTGTGTGCTTTGAGGCAGTCATTTAAATGTGTGTGCTATTCAAGTTCACATCAAGGCCATATTTGATTGTTTACCTGATGTACCTGTGAGTAGATTTAGACATTCTACTGGTGTTACCAGAAGTCGATATATCCAGACTGTTTTGGACAGACAGCAAACCAGTGGGTCTCCAACAACTTTCCTTTACAAAAACCAAATCTCTCAGGCTCACTCTCACCTTGATCTTAGAGAATAATACAGAAACTCAAAGAAAACTATGGCCTGTTAGGAGAAAAATACCAGTATTGATCAACACTTTCTACTGGTCACACAATGCAAGGGTTAGGGATCATCCTTGTTTGGAGTTCTGGATGAGCAAACAGGTGTGTGCATTTTCCTTTTGAGGTAGAAGGATCTGAGCTTGGTGAAAGTGTCATGGGAAGTAATTTAATGAAGGCGCTAAACAGACATTGTTATCACCAGCTCACTGGTGGTGGAGGAAAAATAAATCTGAGTTCTCTGGATTAGTCTTTCTATTTTAATTACCTGTGTAAGGTACAAAACAGAAATAATCTTTGGTAATGAAGCCCAAGTGACACCTTTAAAAATGAGAACTCTACAAGGCTGCCATTTATTTCCTTTTATAGATTTCAAAAACTTGGTTACAGATGCATTTTATGTTCACAAATAATTTGAGTTTTCATTTGCTTCTTTGTTAAGACACTTGCATTTTGATAACTAAATTAATAAATGGCATGTTCATGAAATTTTACCAAACCACTCTTGTACTTTCTTTATTCACTTTGGGATTTTTTTTAAAAAAATTGAGCATCATCACAGTTTATATAAGATTTTTACATTGTAGCCTTAGTATATAGAATACTTAGCACAAATGTTTACCCATCTCTGTGTGTGTGAGTATCTATCTAGCTCTCTATCTGCTGAGAGATGATCCCTTTGGTGGACAAAAAGGCTTATAGAGAAAATTGTATTGATTCATTATTCCCATCATATTGATTTGAAGACGTACTATCTTCTTCATGTGAATTAGTAGAACTAAAGTTGTAGTTCAATAGAAATATGTTTAAATCAGCCATGTAAATGAAAATTGTCTAAAACCATTTCAAAAATAGGGTTTCAGTCTTTTAATCCTGTATGAAAAGCAAACAGCAATTGTTCTTTTTCTTTCTCAGAAAACCTTTCTTTTGCCTATAGCTATTGTTGTATTCTAGTATCTGGCTACTTGTCTTCTATTTAGTACATGGATTGCTTTTGTAATTCCAAATAGTACTTTAAATTATACTATTTACTTTAGGGCATTTTATTTTCATCAGTTTTGAACTTTGGGGAAATGTACTTCTTAGCTTTATTTTAATCGTTGGGAATTATAGGCAGTTACTTTAATTGATAAATTTGTTAACAATGATATTAAATTGCCTGTCACCATCTCAATAATATTCAGTATTTTTACTTATTTTTTCCATAAGGAAGAGAATAATGTGCCCCTTATTATATACATTACTACTGTGTTTATTTTATTAATAATTGTTTTCATAAGCAACATGGAGGCATGATTTTAACTTCCCTCCTGTAGTCTTCTCAAGTAGAGATGAGATTGGAAATGTAGATTAGGACAGGTTTTCCAAACTATGTTGAGAATTTTGGACCTTTCAAAATAGGTGAGGGGGATCTCTGAGTGACTATGAGCAGAAAAGAGGGTGATGGCAGAGGAACAGTCAGCAGGAAGACCAGTTATGGTTAGAGCAGCCCACACATGAGAAGTCAAACCTCAATTAAGGCAGTGGTTATGTAACTGGAAAAAATTGGCAGAAGATAAAGGTCCTGGCGCAGGTTGATGTGACTTGGTGCTGCCTTTGGATTTGACAGCCCGTGCTCCCGTTCCCATCCGACACAAAAGCATTCATCCTTATAGCGTTTTACTTCCCCTTTCTTATCCTTTTCCAGCTACCTTATTATATACTTTTAATGATACTATGTGAAATTCTAAAGTATCATTTATTTTTATGCCAACTCTTAACTTGATTTTTGAAACTACTTATTTTCCAAATAAGTGTTTATCATGCTTCTGAAAATTTGGCTGGAAGTGACTCCAGGGAAGGGGTGGAAGGGAAGAAACATTTTGAGCAGCTGTCACAATGCAGGCGCTGTCTTAGCTGCATTGCTGGTGATATCCTCACAATCACTCAATGATCTGTGTTTATGTCCATTTTGCAGATAGAAAAACAGAGGCTTGTGGAGTTATAAAACATGGCAAGGATCATGCAGCTAATAGGTCCTGGGAGCTATGATTCAAACGTGTGTCTCACTGATGTAAAACCATCACTCTTTCCACTGCTTTATCTTCCTTCCCTTACCTGTCTTCAGGTGAGGACCTTCACAGTGCTCACCTTTAGGAACTCAGAAATAATAGTGATAGTGCATAAAAGTTATGAGTACATCAAAAATTGTTTGAATTTTCTCCACTTAATATCACTTTTATTTCCCAGTGTAACCATAGTGTGAGGGTTTTTATTATAACTGCTTATGAAAAAAATTTGATAGCAGCCATTAAATGTTACTTGTTTGTACTAATTTCTACATTTTATGAAATTTGAAATTCTCATCTGGTGAATAAATGAATTAAAATAACCACTAATGAAGCTTTCAAATGTAACCAGGTAACAGGTGGAGGCAAAGATGATAAGAGCAGGCTTTGCTCGAGCTGCATCTCAAAGAACTAAGAATTGATGCAAGTTCTGAAATTTTGTTTTGCTTAAAGAGGGAATTCCTTCTTGTTTTTTCAAACTACTTATGTTCTCAGACCTGACTCTGTGCTCTCGGAGCATGAGTTGAGAGTTTGGTAGGGTCCTACCCCCATACATGTTCAATCAGTGATGACGAACTGACCACAGCATAAAGCACAGGCCAGTGGTCTTTTCTCTTTACCTTCATGTGATTTTGTTACTACAATATTTGTTTTTAACTTCATGGTTCTCAGAGAGTGCAAATTTTCATGCCTGTTTTTCTGGCACTGAGGCTAGATTTTCCAGTTCATTATGTGTTACAGCTTATCTGTTTGAAAACAGATAGAGCATTTAATCATCTATTCCACAGCATTAGTTGAGTGCCTATTATGTACCAGACATTGTTCCAAGAATTGGGGAATATATCAATGAACAAAGCAGCCTCAAAAACCAAACTATCTCTGGAGCATAACATATAAGTAAGTCATATGTTATGTTAGAAGGTGGTAAAGACTGTGAGAAAACATAAAGCATGGTGAGAGGGGGAGCTGGGGAGTGAGTGGTGGGCTGTAGTTTTGAAAAAGGTGATCAAAGTAGGCTGCACTGAGGAGGGAGCATTCAAGGAAGGGAGAGAGTAAGTTTCCTAGAAGGAAAGGGAGAGAGTAAGTTTCTTAGAAGAACAGACCTGACAGAGCAACAGCCAGGGCAGAAGCCCCTGAGGCAAGAGAGTTCTTTGTGTGTTTAAGGCAGAGGATCTCAAATTGTGGTGCTTGGAATAGCAGCGTTCCATCACCTGGGACTACATTAGAAGTGCAAATTCCTGGACCCTGTCCCAGGCCTGCTGAGCAAGGCTTGCAGGTGATCCTAATGCACTCCAGCTTGGAAACCACTGTAGGGAATAGCAAGTGTGGCTGGAGCAAAACGAAGGAGGGGAGTAGTAGGAAATGAGGTCCCAGCAGCAGTGGGGAAGGGGAGCTTGGTGGAGCCCCATCGGCCTTGGTAAGGATGTTAGCTTTCACTATGAGTGGAATGATTGGCCATTGGAGGGTTTTGAGAGAGGAAGTGTGTTTAGTAGCATCATTCTGACTGTAGGGCTGGGACTAGATCATGGGGGTTAAGGACAGATCCTATAATTTAGAGGGGGAGCGGTGATGACGGTAGCTTGGACCAGGCTGGTGACAGTGGAGGTGGTGAGAAATGACTAGATTCTGAATCTAATTTTGAAGTAGAGATGGTAAGACTTGCTGATGAATTTGTTGTGGAGTTTGAGATCAAGGAGGGCTCAAAGGTTTTGCCCAGAGCATCTGGAAGAGTGGGGTTACCGTTTGCTGGGATAGGGAATGCTGAGGTTAGACAGGTTGAAGGGAGAACCAGAAGGTCAGTTTTGCTGATGATACTAAGTAGGAGACGTCTCTTAGATGTCCAAATAGAGATATTGAGAAGATGTGTGTGATCTGGAGCTGGTGAGAAGCTGAGATAAACTTGGGAGTTGTCAGCGTATTGGTAGTATTTAAAACAAGATGTAATTTGTGGAGTAGTTATGGGGATAAGTTTCTCATATGCATAAAGAAATAATTGTATTAAGCATTAAAGTAAAAACTTGCATAATGGTTAAGAAGGACAGTTTTGGCTAGGTCTGGCTTCTCCTTTCTTTTGATACTTTTGTGCCTACTGAATCATAACAAAGGTAAATCACATAGTTAATCATGTAATCAATGAGTAATCCCATTATGTGTGATATGATTCATGTGATTCATCACTGCATAACTAGATTTCTGGTTCTCTCAGTAGGGAGTAGAATCTACAAAACCCACTGAACCACATCCGGAATGCCCTGTTGAGTATGTATTTACCTTTCTAAAGCCGCTCTAGAAATTTGAGCTTGGTACCATATGTCCAGGTGGTGGCACTGAGTCACAATCAGAATAGCTGAAAATGCTTTTTTTTTTTTTTGGTGATTTTCCTATTTAATTCACCTGCATTTAACCCTAGTTTTCCCATATTGTATTTATAATAAAGAATTATACATTATTAATGCAGTTTGACTTTGGTAAATTGTCAATGACTCTGTATTTAGAAAGCTTTTCAAATAAACTCTCTAATGAATATCTTTCTTTTTAACTTTTTAAGTACTGTTTACTCAATAACCTCTCCCTTTTTTAATCTTTAGCTCTGCAGAGTCTCTCACGCAATGAGTTGACGTCCACATACAGTCTGACTTGGAACCGGAAGCGTATTCTCTCTGCTGTCCCTGGCCTCTGGGCTTTCTGCCTCCTGCGGCTTGTTCAGTGTCATGAACACTTTTCCTTCTCCCACCCTTGCCAGCCCTGTCTTTTCTTTCCTTCTCTTCCTCTGTCTCCCCTCTCCAAGCTGCCAAGAGGAGGAAATAGCCAAAAGGACAATAGCCTTCCAAAGCCTCCCTCTCTCAGGTATCTGTAAAGGTCCTTCAGAGAAGATACACTTCCCTTCTCTTGGAGAGAATAGCATTTTTCCAGGCCAAGGAGATTTTCAATTTAAATTTACCTGCAGTAGCAGATGAAGTTGCTTGTCTAAGTTTTTGGAAAGTGGCTGTTCACAGAATCGGATACTATTTCAACTAGCAAGTTCCGTATTAACCACATTCAAACAGCAGTGGAGCTCTTTTAAACAAGAAACTAAAGAGAAGTAAACATATTTAATCACAGACATGTATATTTGTCTTCAAATATATTTCACCCACAAATGTGGTTTGTGTTTATAATGTTAAATATTATCACAAAAATCACTTGAAACTGATTCGACTTTAGGAAATCAATAGCTGATAAAAAGGATTTGGGTAATTTTTTTTTTTTAGCATGTTTCATGTTGTTTGGCACCTATTTTTCCTTTCTTTGCTAATTCTTCTCCTTTTTTGATGTCCTTATTTCCTGCAGTCAAGTATGATAAATAGAGTACAGGAGCTTGAGAACAGCCATGTAGGTTAACTTTTTAAGAAACGCCCAAACAATAATTGTTAATTAAGGAAGAAAATATATGTATGCAAATTAACAGGAGCTGGAGAAAGAAAGAACTCATCTGATGGAAGATGTAACTGCAAACCAGAGAAGGATGAAGGAACTGGAAGATAATTTGCTTTACCGCCTGACAAGTACGCAGGGGTCCCTGGTGGAAGACGAGAGCCTCATTGTTGTCCTGAGTAACACAAAAAGGACAGCCGAGGAGGTGACACAGAAACTGGAAATTTCTGCTGATACAGAAATTCAAATTAACTCAGCCCGGGAGGAATACAGACCTGGTGAGTTTTGTAATGAAAGACAAATGTCACAGGGAAATGAAGCAGGACAGAAATGAGAATTAGAGAAATGGAATGAAGGGAGGAAGTCATACAAATGACTATGCAAAGCGTTTTATATTTTGTGGGGAAATATTCAGTAAGATGGAGATGAAAAAATTTTGTAATGGCATACATTTTCTAGGTGCTTATAATTTATGTTACTTGGCAAATCCTTTAAGGCTCTAATAGACTTATTTTTAAGTCAGGAAGAGGAAGAATTTTTTAAAAAGTCTGACTACAAATTAGTGAAATCTGAGAAATTAGTGTGGCATTTGCGTACTATTTACCAGTTGTTTATCATTTGGTAGTAATATGCCAGTATGTTGTTTATAGTCTTTGTATTAAGAAGGTAGTTCTCTGGTCTCACGGGAGATCTTTATCCTGAGCCACCAACTTGCAAACTGGTGTTGTGCAAGAAAAACCTGCTGAAGAATTCAACTGGATA